ACTGGTTTTCGAATAACACCAGGCAGTTTACTGACCATCGTTGAGCGGGTCATTTGCTTATGCAAATGCGATGTCATGAAATGACAGAACCATCCATATTTTTGTATGATCGTACTGAAATTTTTCTAATTTGATTGACCAAAGGGTCAACGTGGTCCCAGCGTTTCTAACGGAATTTCTTTTATACTCTAGGGTGTCAGTCTGTTTCAAACATATCCTTTGCTTTAGATACACTGGTCACCATTTTCTCTCTACACTTTTGTACTCAATATTTCTTGGTGTTGTGGCCGTCGACAGATTCTGCTTGGGTTACTCGGCGATTGCTGTTGGGAAGCTAATGACGCTTGGTGGGCTAGGAGTATGGTGGATAATCGACATTTTTCTGCTAGTCACTGGAAACCTAACGCCAGCTGATGATTCAAATTGGGAACCGTACTATTAACTCATTATGCTGGTATTCATCTTGTTTTGTTTTGTACAGTCTTTTTTTCTCGTGTCTTTATGTCAACACTTATTGCAAACGGTTTTGTAGTCCTTCAGTTCTGAGTGGTGTTTTTAATGTCTCTAAACTCAATCTTTCAGACTATCCGACCCCTTTCGTTTGTTTCAGTTTATGTGAATTTTGAATTTCATGCTCTGTATATTTGTGGAGCAGATTTTGTGGAAATAGCATGTACAATAAACCTTGCTTCTTTCTCCATGTATGAAGATCTTGTTTAAGGCATTGTACTTGGGAAAGTCTTCAGTTTCAAAGATAAAATCCAAAATTCAGAGTTGTACGCCTTACGATAATGATGTTTTGACAAAGGATATATTCAAAACGATGATTGGAGGTCTCTTCCTGTACAATCATAAGGTAAGGATATTTTTGGGAGGTTGAATGGAAATCAGGAAATCGGTTAGATATCACTTTCCCGATCTTTTTTTTTGTAGTTTAATATGCATTTCAAATATTAGAACAGAAACAGCGTGCTTTTCTTTGTCATACATTGGGCGCTGTCCTAGCTATATCCACTAATAGATCAATCTATGTATATTTTGAAAAAAGTTGTAAGATGGAAGTCGTTTTTTTT